TTTTCACGTGGCCCGCACTATTCTTCGTCACATACTGAAAATGAAATTCAGTCATTTATTCCCAAAATTATGTATTACAAAATTATGAACTTCGGGGACCGTCAGGATGGAGCAACTGTACTGAGCAATGAAGTGAAAGTTTTGCGTTAACACTCATATGAGAACCCTTCAACTTTTATTTACTGCCTATCCTTCTTTCATAGCCGGGTATAATGTGAAATGCAACCAGAAGGATGATGAGATATGACCAAAACTCGGAATCTCAGTTGTACTTCGGAACTCCGATTACACCTACCGGAGTCTCATGTGTTATACACTGGACCAACCGAGATGCCCGTACTTACTTACTTCCTCTCTTTTCATTTTCTTTCTATCTTTCTCTTTTTCTTTCTTTCTTTCTTCCTTCCTTCTTTTTTTGTTTTATCTTACGTTATTTATGAGACAAAAAGACCAGTGATATCTGTTAGAACCAATAGCATCATCAATAACAACAATATTGGCGCGAATGACGAGTTTCTTCATGGTAGTTCTGATAGTTTTTCTGAAGCCAAAATCATTTATATTGATTTTTTAGGAAACTGAAAATATGAGTCCATCTACATTTTCAGACGTTTTCCTCTCTTTACGTCACCATTCCAGTGTTTGTTCTGCGGCTGTTGCGTACTTCTCGTGACAACAGATATGTTGCGGAATTGTATCTAAATTTGGCAAAAGATATCGAGAATATGGAATATGAACTGGAGTCGAAAAGTCCTCACACTCTTTAAAATAGGATTTTCCACATTCCAATTACTTAGAGATTCTATGTAGTTCGATCTTATAGTTAAATAAGTAAATGCTTCTACACCCTCCCCAGATAGGAGACGGATAGCACAGTAGTAGTGATGTCCGTCATCACGATTATTGTGCTAGTTCGATTCCGCTTCGGGCCAGCCAAGCCTCTCATCTCTCCGAGTGTCGGGAAATTGGTACCGGAATTGTCTGAGAAAAAACCACTCTCTGCAATCCAATTGCGAACGCTTCAGCCCGGTTATCTGAGGGCTCCAGAGATAATTGCTTGATCAGCATTCTACGATATTCAAGATGAAATGAAAATCCTTAAGCAACAACCGAAGCCACTCGTAAAAACTTGGAAGACCCTCCTGGATGATGGATGAGAGAAACGAATCGAATGTGAGAAGTCCTGGGATCCGCACAGTAGACGTGAAGACGGATCAAATTCGAGCAGGCAATAATTCCACCTTGTTTATTAGTTTCTGGTCTGCTAAACTTTTTGATGGAGGTTCGATTATCTGCGGCAGTATGCTTCCAGGTCGATATCAGAATTAATCGCTGCTGTTTGTAGATCGAAAGGAGGAGGCTTACTGTCATTTGACTATGTTTCTTGATCAAGGGCATAGATTACCAGCATTGGTTTACTATAAGGTGGACATTAGGGTAGAAAGGATGGATTCCTTGCTTTAGGTCACCTTGTTACAGCGTGCAATTCCCGCCGTTCGTTGGGCACTTAGGAATACCCCCAGAAATCATGCAAACCGAAAAATCGTTTGCGATGGGCGAGAGCGAGAAGTAGGAATAAAGGAATAAAGCGGATGAAGTTTTGGGCTTAATCGTTTGACCGATCCCCTAAGGGTGCACTATCCACTTGGTTCCATACCGTAGGGATGATTAAACAATATTTGCCCATTACGGTGACTAGTGAGAGAAAAGCGATGGATGAATTCAGCTTTTTTATCCCCCAAGAAAAGTATGATGCCAATCTGCTGAGCTCTGAGAGAAAACGACATTAATTACCTCAGGACTCGACATCGAACCAGCGACCGTATGTTTGCTGAAGTTCTCCCTGACCGCTATTCAAAATCGGGAATACGAACGATTAGTTGAATCATAACATTGGCGATAAGCCCCCTACAGGAGGAAGTTTTCATGACGTTGGGCATATAGCAACAAGTATTTGTGATGATGTTCAATTACTAAAAAACTTTGGCTAGTGCCTTGAAATCGTTCGTTCGATCATTTTTTGTCGGTATTTTCTTCGGCTACCTAACATTTTTTTTCAATATGTGCCTACGACTAAAATGAGTGCTTCACGTCCACTGTTTTACTCGAGCCGGCTCACCTCAGATGTGAGAGTATTCAACTAATCCCACATCTGATCGGACAAAATTCTCTAAGGCGGAGATCATCCGGTAATTTTCTGAGTTCGTGTTTGTATACTAGCGCTGGTAACCGATCCTGCTTTTGGAACGATAACTAGTTCCCGCTGACCCACCCAAGTTCGTGATAACGGTAATGATGATGATGATGATTGGCCCAGACCAACTCATACTCTACCGATCCGACATGAACCGTGAGACTAACTAAAGCAATGGCGAATTTGGTGAGCCAAAAGCAAAACGAAGCTTAGTGAGCCTCATGTAATACATTCAATTGCGGCCGGTGGAGCAAATACTAGTGGCTAAGAGGATTTTCGCCGGCCGGGCAGAGACCGGTCATTAGATGAATGCTTTCCATTATCGGTTTACATTCTGGCCATTTAGATTTCTCAAAGAGGTTCTCTCGGCTTGTAACGATAAATAGCTGAAGAATTAGTTCATTAACTGCTAGATGAATTCTAAAGCTCCACCATGGTTGGGTTACGGCGTAATGAAAATTCCCTCTTCTTCATATTGCACCTTCTAAAACTTGTCTGAAACTCCACAGAAGCTTATTCATGGAAGACTTCTTTAAAAGATCACCTATGAGTAAAACTGTTTTCATTTCATTCAAGTTATCATGAAAATCTATCTGCACAGGTGTCAGTCGAACTCGGCAGTCAGGTTTAAAGCGGCAACGTCCGACTTCTCAATCTCCTCCTCTAGAAGGAAAATGGATAAACCATAAACCACATCGCTAAAACATGAGCAAGCTTCAAGCTAATACCCAGCCCAGAAAAAAACAAACGAAACGTGCTAGAGTTCCCGTAGGGTGGCCCATTTTCACTACCTTGGTCCTAGCTTATTGCACTGAATATGACAGTGTATCGCTGCGTATCACCTGCTTCCGGTCACATAAATGCAATTACATATTAAAAATTTATCAACTTTTCTCAAAATAAAACAATATGCTGACACCAAAATGAATAAACCTGGAGCACACTTTAATTTCAGTCTCTAGATAAAGTCTTGTTGTTGAATATTTAGTAGAATTTTCACAACAGCAAAAAACAAGAGACATCTGCTTAATTCAACTACAATGTTATATATATATATATATCAGAGTAGTGAAAAACACTGTACATCGGTGAGTGCCGAGAGATACGAAATTCCCACAGAAAAATCGATATATCGATTGGCCGATGATGAGGAGGAGGGGGCGGTGCTACTACGATACAACGCTGAGATGCCCGTGATTATGAAATCTCGTCGGAAAAAGAAGAAAACAAGGACATTTTTCGGTATTAGATTTCTATAGGATAAAAAATAAATTGACAAATATTCACTAATATATGGAAAAAATTTGGTCGGAGACTGGGAAGCTGAGTTTGATAGTCACAAATACAGCAGGTAGAATGCCTGTGACAATTTGGCATCTGTTTATAAGTAAATCGTTTTAGACACCACTGAGATGAAAAATTACAAAATGGAGGAAAACGTAAGAGAAAGAGAGAGTAATACAAAAATCGATAGTGGTAAGGCACTCAACAACACTAAACACTTCTGAATTATTGCTTGGCGTCGTACAAAAAAAAACTTAAGAAATCAGTAAATGAATGGACAAAGTAAGAACAAATGATGTTTGACCAACATAAGGACAAACCCAAAATGAAATGTAATTGAAGCGCCAGCTATATATGGATGAATGAGGCGATGTGCCCCGAGGAAGGAGGAGTTCGACTGTGGAGGTTTGGTGAAGAGTGATGGAAGCTCGACAATGGGAGTGAATAGCAGTGATAGCATTGCACAACAATATAGGACACGGAATACAGATGAACACAAATAAAAATACTCTTAATAGATAATAAAAAATACAGAGCGAATAAAAAAAGGAAACGCCGGAAAAAAACTCAACAGTCCCTGATGTGACGCAGAAAGTCAATCGAGTGGTTAACGGATGGGATGATTATTAATGGAGGCGGGACAAACGAAAAGGTAGACGAAAGGAGGAGTGACGGAAGAACTCTGGCACCATTCAGATAAGACAAAACGTATGAGCTGTAGGCAGATCTGGTCGTACTAACGAACGAAATGCCGTTGCAATAGCAAGATGCAAACTTGCTGGTGCTGCGCTAACGATGAATGGTGACGATCTGAATGGCGTCGCCGAAGCCACCGGAATGCGAACATCACATTGAGCTTGACACATCTACGATCTCTCTAGCGGAATCAATAACGACGTAGTAACTGAACGGCGTTAACAGTTCTCCCAACTACTTGATGTTGGAGGCACACGATAAGCGTTGGTGACTCGAGCAGCCAACACCCGTATTTAAGAGGTTTTTCGCTTGCGATTCGTATTTGCCTGATTGGAGAGGGGATTTGCATTGAGAGGTCAAGCCCGACCTGTGACCACAACTGGTCCGCAAAGTGTAAAATATAGCGAAAGTCACAGACTGATTTCTGCAGGATCTCATATGTGACTTATGGAACAAGATATGGGACGCAGTGTAAGATCACGTTGCGGTAAAAGAATGAAGAAAACAAAGGAAGGAGACAATGATTACAGGAAAAAAATCCATATGACTGCGATCTGCCACGGCTCAATAACAGGGAATACTTTGTAAATCACAATTAGTTCCTTATTAACAACGGATATAATGCGCTTCTCGATTATGACGCGGTTTCATAACATCACAGACTACGATCATTGCCTAGGTAAAAGCCAGCCAGTTAACGCTATATATCATATGTGTCTGTATGACTGTGTGTGTGTGTGTGTGTGGTGGATGTGCGTGAGTGGATTTGCAGATGTTTGTATAAGTGTATGAGTGTGGCGGATTGGGTTAGGTGGTCGTACTGTCACTAGAGCGGCTGCAGTACGACAGCGTTTTTCATTTCCGGCGCATAACTAGGTGGTATGAATGGATCACCATTCGGTGTGATCTCTTCGAATGTATACGACTTCGGATTGTAGAAGTCGACTGGTGTCGGTGATGTGTGACCGTAAGTTGGTAGCAGATAGGCAGGTTCATTCAATGGTGGCGGTGGTGGTGGTGGTGGTTGTGGCGGTCCGCATGGTATCATTCGTGGAGCGCTCATAGCAGGCAAGCCTGCAAAATCTGAAATGGGTAATATACTGCAATCTATCGTGTTCTGTTATATCAGAATCAGAAAAAAGTTCTTGTTTGGGAATATAATAGATTACCTTGAGAGATAAGGAGTGATGAAACATAATTCTACAATACTGAGGCGCTTTTAGTAGTCAAAGGGTCATAAAGTAAATCATATCCTTCTCCAAACACTTTTTTTCGTATATCCTCACGTTGAAACACAAGGAACACCTATCAATTTTCGTTACTACGCCACAAGATACAAATATCCTACGGAATAGCCATAGCCGAATAGCCGAATGTATTTGTTTGATCGCTCTGCTCTTAATATATTTGCTTTTGAAGGAGAGAAACTCAAAACTAAAACGCTATTGCAAATGATCTTTTCTACACGATACCAATGAACCGGTCAAAATGTGGTATATCGTTCGACGAACTTTATAATCGCTACTATACTGTCATTGATAGATAAGGAAGGGGAGTATAGTGAAACGGACATCAGCGATAAAAGTACACCACCACCCACCATAGTTCACAGCCGCCGGATTGATGCCAAGAATACGAGCTTGTTGTTGAGCTTGTGCATGACTTAGTGACTGTGGTGGTCCGAGTTGTGGAGAATGTGGCTGTACTTGTGGCACAGGTATTCCACCATAGTTTACATCCATTCCACGACGTTTCATATCGAAATGTATCGGTGGCGGTGCCGCTTGATCGTACGCACGTTTTTGTGCCTGTAATGAATCAAACGACATCAAAAAGACTCTCGTTGATGAGTAATGAACACACACACACTGAGGTCTAATGAACATCGGTTCAAAACTAACTTCTCCGCTCAATGCCAATACATCAACGTGATAGCTCACACACACACACCACACACCGACGCGATACACACACACAGACATACATATTCACAGTGGTACTGGTCGGACTAATGACCTGGGGCCATTACGACTGGAACGTAGTTTGATCACCTACCTGTCTCTGCTGGAACTCATGCATTGACTGTGGTGACTGGGCAGGTAGTTCGATACTGGTCGCATTATTGCAGCGTTTTTTTGCACACATTGCACCCGTCATGTAGCGATTCTCGAAAAATCTGAAGATTTCGGTGATGTTATTACGTGAAAAAAGAAGAGAGTGGACTGTAGCTGTTGTAGAAGGTTTAGAGTTGCGTTTATTGACCGAGAGAGCGAACAGGCACCAGAATTTTGTCGTTATTAGCTAGCAAAGAATGAAATTCAAAAGGAAAACACCTGTTAGGATGTCAAACTTCTTAGTGATGAAACTCTACAATGGCCTGAATTTTTCACCAAATACAACACCATTAAAATTATCTATTAGGTTAAAATCATCCAAACATATCGACGCACCTACCGTAATCCTAAAGGCGTTTGTTTCAAAGTAATGCTTATTTCCTTTCCATTTTACGGAACAAAAGAAAAAGTTCTAAAAGATCACAAGTTGGAAACGAAGCAAGGAAATCATGCAGAAAAGTCTAAATCAAGTGAAAAAGTAGTCTGCGAAATACGACAATGATGCTGAGATATCTGCAAAACTCCGGACCGCAGATGTCTGCCGTGGGGAACGAACGCGCTATTACTTTTCCGGGGGTTAACGTGTTCACCATCATAACAAAAAAAATTGCAGTGGTAGTAATAAAAAGTGAACATTGAAAAATTAGTATTTTTCGATGCCTAAACGTTGTATTAGCCGTTACTCTTGCGGTATAACGTTCTCAAAAAAAAAAAAGAAAAAAAACACCGGACTCTCAAAAAACGCAGATGTTATCCGTTTTTGGTTTATTTTCAAGAAGACAAAAATAAAAGAAAGAAACAGAACTTCGTTTTTAGGAAGATATCTTCCTCATTGGGAAAGTCAAGAAAAGAGAAAGGATTTCTGGAAAGAAACTTCTAGAAATCTCAGGACAAATTCGTTTTATTTCGAATTATTTATTTATAAAACATTAAAAATTATTAAAAACAAACATTACAACATTAAAACATTTAATTATTTAATTATTTAATTATAAAACAATTCGAAAATGCTGTAGAAAAAATAAAGACAGAAAAGCTTAAAAGGACTAAGGTTTCGCAAAAAGTAAGAAAAATAGACGTGCCATGCACCTGCTGAATAGGACTTTCAAGTTAATGAGGGGTCACTAAATTGTAAAAAATTTCTCCTAACCCTTTGTACTTTTTCTTTTACTACGTTTCAATATGTTAAGTAAAGTTAACCATTAGACAGTTTGTAAAAGAAATACGAAAAACGAAAAAAGAAAAAGATCGAAATGTAGGGTAAAACGAGAATACAACTGAAAACAGTTAAAATCACAATGCTAACTTTTCATTATCTGCTTACTATAGCAACGACCTCCGTGGCACAGTGTGTAATGCGCGAGCCCCCGGAAAGAGAAATCGTGGTTCGATCTGACGCGGGGTACACGTTTTGCGAATATCTCAGCATCGTTATAGTTGAAAATAGTTAGTTAATTAAGCCGACTTATAAATTTGTCAATTTTTCTCCTGATAGATGTCATTTTAGATGCCACTAACATTTTACTCGTTACTCCTATTGAATAGACAGACCATGGTTTCCTTCTCCTCTCATCACAACAGAATACTACAAAAAACTTTTTCTAGAAAGTTTCAAATGAGTCCCCATATTTGACATTTTCAAATGAAGACGCCCTGCTAAGAAATGAAATACATCTAGCAGTCTTCGCGTCGTCCTTCAAGGAAACCAGTCATGAGCCGGAAAATCTCGTCGGTGACTGCCTGACCATATGGGTACATCTATGCACCGCTTCTCTTGCTTTCAAAATAAAACCTTACTCTAATCAGGAATAAACCGGTCATATGGAAATTACGTTGGAACCTGCTATTTTGATAAAAGTCCTCCATCGAAGTACCAAACAACATAATTTTCATATGCAGTAGTCATAGCAAAGGGCAAGGGCAACGAAGCGGTGTGGTGAAATATTAAGTGGCCATTGGTTCGTTCTCGTGCCCGAGCCTAACCAAGCTCCTAATAGAATTGTCTGGGAGAATAAAAACACTGAAACATACATCACTTGACCTCTTCAAGCCACGGTATAGGTTATCTACACAAACCGTCACCTCTACAGTACTTAATGAAGTTGATGGCTCATGATGTACTCTGTTATCGACAATACATTCTTTGTTTTCCACGCTTTATACTAATCTTTATTGAGTAGAACAACCAGTTTCTACGAAAAATAGCAGAGCAAACTAGCAAATCTGCAGCGTACTAGGAATCTCGACTATGAACCTACCTCTTATCTAAACAGACTAGACAAATTTGACAATCGGGCATTCTGCAATCTTCACATTGATTGCATCCGACACGTGCCTTGAACGTCGGGGCGTCTCTCTGGAATGTTCGTGAAACATCTTCGAATTCATGGCGATGTTCACCAGAACAGAATATGTCATATGTGGACTCATTCTATAATCTCTGTCGTACCTGAAGTCTGTTCTCCAAAACACGTAAACACCTCCTCTCAATACAACTTTGTTTCTTCACACCGGGTCCGCCAAACTGCGGACTATCCTGGCAGTAAGTGCACTGGCCGCACGGTTTACACTGACATCCGCGGCATACACCGCATCTGAACGAAGAAATTTCTTTAATAAACTACTCTTAATACAGTAAAATCTCAGTAGCTATTAACAAACAGATGACTACTACTAGTCTTTGCGCAACAGTCGACTGAGACTACAGCAAATTTTCCAATGAAAAAACCGTCCGGGAGGGTCCTTGTTGTAAATTATTAAGTGCATGGAACATCTATTCAGGTCTAAAACAACCCTTGGATAAGTGCAGGACAAGCTGTCCAGTGAATACAGAATGTATTGCAACATAGTTCTCTGCAATAAAAAAAACTGTAGCATGCATCGAAATCAATTCATTTAGTCATTTATGTGTTACCTAAAAGCAGTAAACGCAGGAAATTGCTTTCATTCTGACATACTTACTTGATACTTGATAGTTGAATGGCCCGTCCTAACTGGATCTGCGGGCCCCAGCATAATCTCCATTTTTCGGAGATTTGTTGGTTAAGCCATCGTGATTCTCTGGAGTCCCGAGGTCACCTTAGCCAAAATCTGCCCCAGGTCTTCACCACCACGGGCAGTCGCAGCCCTTGTAGATCAGAGCGAGATTTGCCACCATGCGACTTTGAAAGCAGAACGGTGGTGGATCCTGGTATTGGTTTACTCTTAGCAAGGCCTCCGGATGAGAAACGTCGGACTACTTCTCAGCTTGGGAGACCCTGCCAGGTGATGAATCCCCCGCTGTACATCGCAGTCCGACACATCCCAGCCACGATGAGGCGGTAAACCGCTGAGAGGATTTCGACATAACTACAACTAATAAGCCGGATAATGTTTGATATTAACTTTCGAGCAGAAAAAGAGTGCTCAGCAGAACAGCGATTTACCGCCAGGATGACCCCATACCAGTACATTATACTTCAGAAGTGGTGGACTGGTGGACTATGGGGACTTTTCGCCAAAAACGGTAAGATGAAAAGTGGTAAGATGACGAACCTCAAAAGGAGCGGCATGAAGCTCTTCATGTCCAATGAGTGGGACTGAGCATACTTGGCAGTCCCAGCATAGAATGGAGGAGGAAGAAGACACCTCCTAAGGCCAGCTTAAAGGTCACTCGATGATTAACGAGACTATAAGTGGTCCTACAGGTGATCTGTGATGCAATAGGTGATAAAATTCGAAGGGGAAAAAATTTTCCGTGCTTAACGACCACCATACCAAGAAACAGTTGCTGAGATTTGAGTCTTCCAAACCGGAAATTGCTCAGCCGTTTTTCCCCCCACTACTTTTTGTTTCTTTACTGTTTTTAAATGGAATACAACACTACAGACTCAAGAATCAAACGGTGACTTATGAGACAACAATGTCCACCGCTTTTAGATTTTGCTATTCATAAAATCTTCCAACGGTTTACCACCCCATCGTGGATGAGAGGTGTTCCCGAGTGTCGGACTGCGATGTACAGGCGAGGGATTCATCCCTCCAGCAGAGCCTCGAAATATGAGGAGTCCGATGTTTTTATCCGCGAGCTCAACTAAGAATAAACCGGTGCCAAGATCCACCACCGTCCTGGTGTCAAACTACTCGCATGGTGGCAAATCTCCCTCTGACCCACAAGGGCGGCGACTGGGTGGGGTCTGAGGACATGAGGAAGGCTTCGGCTAGATTGACCTCAGCACTCCAGGAAACCACAATAATTAAACCAGTAAATGTAAATTATGCCAAGGCACACACAACCAGTGAAGACGGGCCTTACATGTAAGTAAGCATTCGTAAGACTAGTGGAATTTCCTATTTAAAATGAATTCATATAATGAAGTAGATCAAAATGGATAATCATCTTTCTTTTTTCGGGATATCGTCAAAAAAGTTATAGTGTATAGATCTATTAAAATTCCTGAAAGAAGAAGACAAGAAGGATCTGGTCAAACGTCACGTACCTTTTCATAACCAAAAAGAAAAAACTTCTCTGACCCAAGACTGAATGTAATTTGTTAGTTTACCTTGGGAACGATTCATTCATGAGTCATTTGGTTTTTTAATGGGCTCGAAAGGGTTCAGTGATAGAACATTCCTGAAGATGAAGACAGCTGGACGATGACTAATTCTTAGATAACACATTTTTCAGAATCGCCATACTAAGAAAAAAACGCAAGCAACAAGCTCTCTAGGATGGTGACGTGCGTATGGGACTAATATATGAAGCTGGCGAATAAAACTATTGCACGTTAAACTAAAATCGTATGCTCGTCCACTTGATCCACAGATCGATTATCGATTAGTTCAAGTTCGGTCCTCTTAAATGTCATTTAATAAGGAGGTCAACACAGTTTTTTTCACTGCTAATTCTGGAGTGCTGTTAGTTCAGAATTGCTGGCAACAATACGAATGTTGATGAAGTAACAATATTAGTAATCTGAATCATTTCGTCGCACTGTCTAAATCAATATTTCCATTGCATCATTAGTAATCCGTAAATAAATCTATCCACTGATTTTTGATCGATTTATCGATCGGCCGCTGATCGGTCGACTAAGAGGGCGTACCTCTGTGATCTGTTCATACTGGACGTTATTGGTGGTTGTTGTTGAACGTGTTGTGAAGGCTGTGGAAATGTCTGATGCATACCGTTTGGACCTTCCATTACCATCATGGGACCCATCTGCATCAGAGTGTTCATCACACTGGAAAGAAAACATATATACAAAAAAATCACAAACAAAACGCTATGATGTTAAATACGAAGGAAATACAGGAAATACCGCCTAAGAAGCAGACGTGAAAATCAATAAACGACCATATATCAATCAATAATCGTGACTTAGAGAAGGAATCATTCAAACATTCATCAATGTTTCCAACTTTTCAATGTCGTCTATTATTCAAACAGAATGAGACGGACAGAGATAGTAACACAGATTTAAACGTGCCAAGAGTGTTTTAGATGGATCGAACGCTCTGGAAAGAATTTGTCATAAAATCCGATCGATATTCAGTACGGGAACATTTTAAATCGAGCATAGAGAAGTTCGAAAGACAGTGTAAATATGAATCTCATCACGGTACGACAATATACGGACATAGATATAAACCTGACGATTACTGTAACGATTCCTGCTGGAATCGTGTACTGAGATTATAGTATCGCACAGATCACGGACACATAAAAGAAGAAACAAGAAGAAGAAGAGAGAAAGCGGAAAATCTAAAGATCAAAACTGAATGATGAAAAGAATGAACGAATGGAACAACAGTAAAGAAGATGAAGAGATACAGAATGGCACGTTTTTTTTACCCCGCTGAGAGATTTCAGTACAGTTGCAGCTTTGACGTCAATCACTAAGTGAATAGCAAACCGGACGATGACGATGAGTTTTCAGTGACTCACTACATACGGAACAGAAATCATCACTCTATTCGCCATTGTGCAATCTAAAGAATCGATAGAAAACAAAACAGAATTTTTCATGTGTACAGAACCCCACCAGATGTTTTTATACAAGGAACGGTTTGAAGCTCTTCTTCCCTTTTATTCTATACTCATTCAATTATATCTAACCCTATACAAGGGAACGTGCGTGTGTAGCGCAGTGGTCGGAGGCGCCTTGCAACACACGTGAAATCGATCCCCGCGACCAAGGCATACCAATAATTCCATTCGTCGGTGGTCGGCAAATTGGTACCAGATTTGTCTGGGAGGATAGCAGCACTGGCTCGATACATCGGTGGCCCACCGCGAGTCATTGTAAAAGTCAGATATGCATTCAGTCACCCACAAACGATGCTTGATGAAGTCGAATGCATTGCGCATCCCTCGGTTTCTTTTATCTAACCCTATTTCGACCATCTGCTGACGAACTTGAAATAAATCTAGGAGGAAGACGACCAATGCCGAATTAGGATACAAATTTGAAAGGGACGTGATAATGACGAGGAGTTGAGAGCAGAGAACATAGGTTTTCGCAGAACGACGTGATTCTTTGGTGCCTCGAATGGCGGAAAATGTAAAACGACCTCCATGTGGGGAATTTTGTCATAAATGCGGTGGTCGTTGTCATAATCATCAACATTATCATTACGATCATCACAATCATCATCGTTATCGACGACGACGTCGTGTGGCTTCTGAGCGAATAGTATTTTGTGCTAGTAATCTTTCAAGTGATCGGCGACGGCACATCCAGACGCCTGGGCCACCTTGTAACGTAGCCAGATGGCAGAAGTCGATCATGTCAATGTTGTTGACTGACTCTTGCCGAGTAAACGTAATCAGCTAACCAGTACAACTAATCAAATCACTCACTCATAGTTTCAAAGTGATTACCTCTCATACACATACCACTAGCCATTCTGTGGTGGATAATTTCAATGTCGAGATTAATCGCCGTTAAGTCAAGCGACAAGAGTGCCACCCGTAAGCGACTCGCCGCCGCCACGACGCAACGAAGCCACTCAGGCGGGTTACGAACCGTAACTCGTCAGAGTTTTCATGCGCCCATTGTTGAACCTGTCACAACAACTAAAGTTTTCGATATTTAAAGAGCTTAACTAGGGAGTTAAAAACTTTTTTTCTATTTCGTACACATATCAGCCTAGAAAACTAAAAACAATACGGCGATCAGAACATACCAAATGAATTTTGACCGACTGGAGTACTTAACAAATCTCGCTTTCGCGACTATATTGCTACCCTAACAAGGGCTAAAGAAAGCTAAAGAACATTCAACTAATCTTTCTGCGTTCAACCTTTCTACGGCCGTAGATGTACTTTATTTCGAGCTAAAAATCCATCAAGTTTAAGTAGGAGGCTACGACAACGCAAACAGAAATAAAAAAAGATACTAACCCCAATGGCTCAAAGACTTAGATGAAAAGAACGACATGACTTTAATAAAACTCAAAACATCAACAGTTCACCACATGGGTTCCTCTCCTAGAAAACAATTCCAGAGAAAACGAAGCCAAGTGTCCCGATTGCCACTTCCCTTCACAAATTGCTATCACACTTCTGAATCACTTAAGCTGAAATGAAAACATCTTCGCACAGAAAAAAGTGAAAAATACTAGTAACGGTGGTAAAATGAAAGAAAAATAAAGAACGCAGGTAAAAAAATGACAAAATGGGTAATAAAAATAACCCGAAATATTGACCTTTCTACAAAATGGCCTAAAGGCGGCTCTACTAAGTGGAATAGAGGAAAACACTAGTACCAACTTTACACTGACACTTCTAGTGAATTCTGAAGGATAACTAAGCATTATATAAGCTATAAATATGAAGAACAATAGATGGAAGAAGGATTATCCAAATCACCTAAGTCTCTTGTGAAGCAAGATTACTACTCTTTAAATCGAGATATGTACTTGATTTGCGAAACCTAATAAGTTAAAATAAATATTTTTAAGGGTTTAAAAATGAATGCGATTAAAATGGCTGTGTTCAAGATGCTGGACGTCAAATGTACATGCTGGAATCCTGTACGAAGTGGCTCAGATCACCTTCTTCCCGGTCAGAGAATGCAAATGTCGCCAGCGAGATCGAACTGATAGATCGCAATCAGAGCCACCGATCTGATCGAGACCACGTAGAAAGCCTATGACGCACGGCTAAGCTTTAATATCTCCTTCCATAGAAACTTCTTCACAACTAATAAAAAACACCATCATTATTGTATTAAGGATTGCTGATATCTCTACGCACAACTGAAAACCGCTACTAACATGTTTTTCCATTCAGCTTAAGCCAATTTCTTCTCAGGATCATGTCGTAGATAGGAAGGAATTGCATGCAGGTGTGCAGGTGTCTCGTATAGGGCTATATTGCCTAGGCTTATTGACTTAATATCTGCCCAATTACAAACTCTAGCAAAATTTAATCGATACTATGAAATTGATGTACGATAAGAAAAAGGATAAATATAATGGTATACGATCTTTCAGAAAAATTATTCAAAAGAAATCTACAGGAAGGTATAATCGTTTTTTCTAGCAGAAAACTTGACCAAATCCTAGAGACATTGAAGCGAGCGACTCAGGTTCTAAAGTTTTTAAGACCCGAGCCACCTCGTGAATGTCTCAGGGAAGCTCGATTGTTAAAGAGAAACATCACCCGACCAGGTCAAGAACTCTGGTCTTTAAACAATAGTACTATATTGGGTGAACGTTGTCATATGAACATACATTTTGAATTTCTGAAAAAGCTAGCAGTTTTATTGTTCAGACGTGGATGAGATTATGGTCCGATAAATTTCTAGTCTGCTAAAGGCTCTCATGAATTTTCCATTCACCTGATTACAGATATTTAATGACAAAATCCATGTCCATGAAATAATTTGCACACATCAAAGTACGTCATCATGCAAATGTACTAATACAATCTGGAGGAGTAGAACGGTCGTGTTCTGGATATCCTCCGTCAGCTCGTCACTACCGGCTTACATGAGAACGCACTTGGTAGCCTCGTTTGTGACTAACCGCCTCAAGATCTCTCATCTATGAAAGACATCAGCGGAATGGTACATAGAAGACGAAAAATCAAGTAATCAATATAATAAAAAATATAATTTGTTCGTATTATACAATTAAATCCTACTTCATTCTTTCCTAACATTCCGGGAGAGAGAGATATCCGTATGACTACTATGTAGTGTTGTCGAAAATATAAGATATCATTTCGGTAATAAAAGGATAAAAGGATAAAGCTCTCGACGTTGATCAATCCCTGAGGGACGTGCCATGCATTCGATTTCATCAAGCATCGTTTGGAGGTGAATGAATGCATGTTTAGCCTTTACAATGACCCGTGGTGGCCTAACGATGTATTGAGCCAGTGCTGTTATCCTCCCAGACAAATCTGGTACCAATTTGTCGACCCTGAAGGATGGAAGACTTGGTGGGCCATGGGCACAATGATCGGTTCCAGGTATGTGTTAGAGGGCATGTCCGGCCACTGCGCCACACGCGCCCTTTGTGTTCCGGTAATACTAATTTTTTTGAAAGAAGTCTTTAATTCTTCATACCTCCGTGTGTAGGAAAGTCACTAATAACTACAAAAATGTTTTGAGAAAGAGTGGAATCTAGTTTGGGACGAAAACCTTCTATCAAAAATCGACATAAGTACTGCTTTAATGACTTTGAACAAGAAGAATCTCGTGTATGTTGGATCATATTTCTTCAATAAATAGCCAGGAAGGTTACCACTTCGTACAACAATTATCAACCGATATGCCTATTTAGAAAGGAGGGACTAGAGGAAACATAGGTTAGATGAAGCCTTTACGGTATTACTGTAAAACGACATGAGCAGTCGTTGCTTTAAAAAAAGAGGGCGAGCAGCAGTCTGTGTGTGTTTGTGTACGCAGGTGGTCCAGAAAAACGATGGTCGTATGATTATGATGGCACAGCACAAAGAACATGATGTTTCATTTCGCTCTACACACAGAACGTAGTTTCATTCTTTTTATAGACAGAATACAACGACATTTTTTATCCTGTAGACAGAACGTGGTCTTTCACTTTTCCATAAAGAGAATATGTTGTCTTGTATTCCTTCCACATATAAATCACGATGTCCTGTCCTTCCCTCCAGACAGGACGTGATGCTTCGTTCTCTATTGCATCCAACGACGAGATATGAAGGAGATACAGACAGAGATGGGAGTGAAGGTGAGGATGTGGGTGAGGGTGAGGAGGAATTGGGTTAGAGACGTAGAAACTTAGAAAGACGACAACGACGGCGATGGCGAAGATGGGGACGACGGTGGTGGCGATGAGGATGACGACGATGACAACAAGGACGACGATGAGGTCGATGAGGACAGTGAGGACGACGGTGAAGACGATGAGGACAACGACGGGGACGACGAGGACGACGAGGAGTACGAGAGTCTGGCGATTCACTGACATTGTCCTAAGCGGCGAAAGATCATATGACATATCGTTGCTCTGATGAGAAACGAGTGTGGTAACGTCAGTGTGAGAGTTAAACCTCTCTATTTCTTTTTCATTCAAACGAACACACACCCAACCGCCATTTGGTCTCTTCCCGTTCAATAAAATGTGGGATGCAAACTAACGAGAAGAAAAAGAAAGGAAAAAACAAAGTATAAGAACAATGACTACGAAAGAAATTTAGCAGAAAAATGTTTAGGAAATAATCGACACAAAGCAAAAGATGATGATGAAGCTAAACGTGATATAAGGATACGGTGAACGATTAGATTATACGATGATATCGATATTATCGTACATTTTATCACGTGATGATCACCAATAGTTCCAATTCAAATTCTGTTTGAGTAGAAAACGAATGAAATAAAGAATGAGAAAATGAATGGATGAATGAACAGATATGAAGTACAAAACATTATCGACCATATGCATTGATTTCAATGCATGCGCCACCGAGAAGGAACACGTTCTTCAACTTTACAAATGCGTATGACAACTCAGAGCTAAGCTCACTGAATGAAATAAGAAGCATCAGGATCTATAGACCCTTGTCAAAAAGATTCAGCTTTCCTCATCCTACTAGAACAGAATTCTGATTCTTTCGTTAGCCAGTCATCTCTTCTCTTCCTCTGAGATTTTCAACTGTCCTAATTACCGAAATGTTATCGAAGTGGGTGGAAAAACCAGTTTTGTCGAAAACTATTCCAAATCAATCAATAGTGTTCGAAGAATAATCCAATATTTACACAGTAATCTCCCAGTAAGACAGTTCCAGTCTTAGCACTCATCACTTTCATTCGACTAACCTAACCTACTCATTTAGACGTGGGTCCCACAAGAGACGGTACATAAAACAAGATTTCCACATTCCTCGAGAACAAGAAAAAATACTGAATAGAACAGACTCCAACAGGAATTTTAAATGGTGCTCTCGTGTTTCTTAAGTGAAACTCGTCGGTGGTTCAACTGTACTGCAAAAATCGCACGATTTTAACACAAACATTATGCGCCTACTGCAAGCGGTGCATAATTTACACACAACCATTACGAACTGATTGCAAACGGTTGTCGATTTTCACACAACCATTATGCACTCACTGCAAGCGGTGCACGATTATAACACAGCACGACACAATCAATCAATACAAATTTCTTCTCTTGATAATGTTCCATTATGAGGTTTTTCTAGTCGAGTGAGGGTTATGATCGTTTAGATAGAGAGATGATAGGGTGATGATGACAATGACGATGATGATGATGACGCTGATGACGACGAAGTGCCCATCGTTTAGGTTTAGAAGAAATAAGAAATAGACAGAGGTGCAAATCAGGCCAGAAAAACTCGAATTTCTCTAGAGGTGCGCGCCGACAGCACACGGCCCCCCATTCACCCACCCCCAGTCCCCCAACCTACCACCCTATCCACCCACCCCACCCCCACCCCATCAGGCGTATGAAACCGGGTACGCTCGTCATTTTAGCTGAATGGAAGGGGGAGGAGAAGAAGACGGAAACGGAAACGAAAACGAAGACGGGGAAAAGTAAATGGTATGAGGCAACGACATATCACTTATTGCCGCAATGAAGAAATTAACATAAACTTATCATAAGAAATTCATCCAGTTCACCAGGTTTATTGATTTCGTCCCACTCAAAATAAGCGTCTATGGGAAATATCTGACACTTTGCGTTATGGAAATGTCGTTGAAAATTTAGGAAAGTTATTTATTTTGTTGTTAGTCGATCGCTAAACAAATATACGTCGAGGCATTATTGATTGGATCGTCGCGAGGCGGCACATTCTTCGAGCGTTTTCTATTTGTCTGCAAATCCCGAGCACATACCGTACACAGAAATTTTTATAATTAAACAGAACTCGATAGGAATCGAGGATAAACAGGATGATTTCGTTTTTCGATGACATTTACTTCGAAACATGACAAATATTTTTTAGAGATTTGACCTTAAGAGGACGGAAAAAGACGTCGCTGAAGAGTATAAAGAAGTCCAAGACATGTTCACAACGATTTCATTTCGAGAATTTTCTCACAAGACTCACAGAAGAAACGAAGACCCAAACTGGCGTGTATTTGGCTGCTCTGGCGTGGATACATGACGATTTATCGATTTTTTTAGATGACCAGTGATGATAAGTAGATTGACAACGACCATGAAGACGGCGTTATCATTGTTATCGTCGACGTCATCGTTTAAATCATCTTCGACGTCGTTCTTGTCGTAATCATCGCGTTGTCAACATCGTCGTCGTCGCAGCCACCGTCGTCGAGATTATCTTCGACGTCGTCTTTGTTGTCATCACCTTCTCGTCGTCGCCGTCGACATCATCTTCGATTTCGTCTTTGTCATCAGCTTCTTGTTGTCTTCGCATTCGTCGTCGTCATCACCATCTACATCATCTTCGACGTCGTCCTTGCCGTCATCATCTCGTCGTCGCCGTTGTTGTTGTTGTTGTTGTTGCACTTTCTTCATTACTTGAGAAATAATCACAGAACATGACAGTATTGTGACAACAGTGTGTCTTCTGTGTATGATGTATCCAATCAGAAAACCAGAGAAAGAAAAAGGAGAGAGAAAGCGAAAAAACGCCAACATTACAACGAAGACCTTGAGAAAAAGCTGAAAATCAACTTAGCAGACAGACTTTCGGCATCGTAAAAGCTTCTAAAGAAATCGAAACAAACAGACGGACGACAGCACAGAAAATGATATGAAATGCCTTCTTTTTTTCCTTGAGCATATCGTCTCTTCCCATTTTTCCACTGATCTTAGTAGAATTCTCCCCACTAGTGAAGTTGATTTTCTTCCATTCTTTCATCTCATTTTTGTACCACTTCGATTTTGTCGCGAAGAAGATATCACAGGTTATCGGCTGAGAGAAAAATACCTCATACATAAAATTCTTAGGAGATTTTCTAAGACTAGGAAACCGTATTCCTTTTGAGGACCGGATATTTCACTTTCAAAGAAGTCTCATATTGTTAGTGGAAACCGAATCCTAATGAAATCGTAATCTTCGCCTTCTTTGGGGAAAAACTGTCTAACAGTATGGTGCCCTATGGGGCCTCATGGCGCCGTGTTTTCTCGGCGCGAATGGAAAGAAAGGGAAGAGGAAGTGAAAGAAGAAGGGAGGAGCAGAAAAGCACGATTCGTTAAAATTAGAAACAATGCGGAAGTGTTCCACGAGGTCGAGTCGACGAGGGTCTCGCAAAGAAAAAACGTGACGTTGACTTGTCATTCGCATTTTTCTTGTTCATCTCAACTGCTGGTGAAGAAGGTAACAGTTATAAGATGTGGAGGTAATGATGAGATAGGTCGTCGTCGTCGTCGTCGTAAGTGGATGGAATCGTGCTGACCGACTAAGAATATACAATAAGAGAGAAGGCAGTCTGAGAGAACTGAATATATTGAAGGACACTGTATTGATTGATTCAAAGCGATGAGACAGAGAATAAGAACGATGATGAAGACAACTCTCATCATGGCGGCTATCAGAGAGCGATGATTGTGAAGTGATGTGAGTGATGAGAAACGAGGAAACGTTGTTGAGAGGAAGAGACAGAGAGAGAAATGGAGAACTACAAATGAAAGACAAGCATTAATTCTTATACCATCATCTCTCTAACCGCCGCTCTGTTTTCTAAAGTTTCACTTTGGTTACTGTAGAGATTTCTAAACATTTCATAACATTCGCTGTCGCTTTGCAATTATTTACATAAATACATTAGATGATCTTCATCGTAAAAAAAAACCACAATTTGCTTCTGGTAGGCGAAAGAGATGATTAAAAGAGAGAGAGAGAGAGAGACATGGAGAAGGAACTACAGGGAGAGAGAGAGGGAGAGAAATGGAGATAAAGAGCGAGCGAAGAAACGATGATACGGCGGGAAACGGAACAACGAAACGTCAAATAACAGATGGTGATGGTGAAAAGTAAACATTGAGAACTATGGAGTGTGTTAGGATGTTTAGAAAGGAACAATAGAGGTGTTGAGTGACAACTCTTGTGAAACATCAAAACGTTTTGCAGCGAGAACGCAATGAACGATGAAAACTCGTCCGCAGACATTCATCAATGATCACGAATTCCATTCAATGGTTTTCTTTTGGGCACTGAGGTCACGGAAAGGGGAGGGTTGGGTTTAGCATAGTAATATTATAAGGAAAACGGTGTAGAAAACTCCGCTGTGTAAGTGAATAGAGCCGCAGTCAAACACAGTTCTGCTAGAAATAACAAGGAAAGAACGAATACGCTACTTTTCGCGAAAGAAACAGACCTATTTAGCGCTACTAACGATAACAACACTGATCGCTTAGCCACAAAAATTGATGAACAAAGGAAAGAAAAGGAGTGATCAGCCTAAATATAGATGCAAATAGCAGGAATAGAATGTGTTGTGGTCTCTCATGTGAAAAGTTTTTTTGTGGTTATTGCGCCGATGTGATCGGTCGACACAGATATGATGGACACAGCACGCGGCTGTTGTTGTTGCTGCTCTCGATGAACTTTGCGCTTTGTTTAGCTACGACAACAACGACGACGAGGAGCAGTGGAGGGACGACGGTGGAGGGCAGCACCGACGACGACGACAATGAAGTGGAGTGGAGTGAAGAGGGTGGCAACATCGACGACGACGAAGAGAGAGCCACCACAACTACTGTACTGGTCAACGCTCGCTACAACGTCAACACATAAACCGTAAAAGTATCAGAGGACACTGTAACCGAACCCTACCTCTAAATTTTACACTAGCTATACAATTCTGAACAATATTAACGGTTACTGTTATAAAGTATTTCGACGCTTCGGTAGACTTCGCCTTCCTCAGAGCTTTGAACTGTCAAGTTAACCCCAACCTAGTCAGCCAAATACCTCTATAACTCCAACAAGGAAACTACGATACCCAGTTTTCAATCGCATTAGGTACTTCTTCACACACTCACCTCTCTCTACGAAGTTCTGCTTGCCAATGCTAAGGTTAACAGAAAGTCAGTCTTGGAAATATTGGCGATCCTCGAAGAAGAACAACCTCTCAAATAGTGAAAGCTGAAGAAAATTTTCTGGTTTCAAGAGTGAAATTCCGGAAAAATGAAAAACGAGGAGAAAAAGGAAAAAATATTGGAAAATGAAAACTAAAGGTGATACTAAGACCGCCGACTGCAAAAGTAACGCAACTCTTAGAAACCTTTGGAAACAGAAATTGCTGAAGAGATATCAATTCCAGCTCGACAGATTGTCTGCTGATCAAAATCCATTTTGAATTATATTGACGGACAACGACAGCTTCAGAAGAAGACGATCAAGAAAACCGAAGAAGTCTCGATTAAAGTGATTAGGAATTTTCCAGTGATCTACACCTGTGTGGAAATGGTTTCCTCAAGAATAACATGTTCATAAAAACAAAACATTCGAGCAAAGAAACTACGAAAAAAAACTTCTTTTGGCGAATCAATAATCTCTTATTATTACAAAAGACTTGCTAAGTCAGGTCCAGGAGCCACCGAGAGTAACCATATGGCAACCCGGCAGAGTAACGATTTTGAGCCAATGGTTTTGGGAAAGGAACCATAGAGTCAGAACGTTAAATTATATTAGTGAATTCTGGATGAGTTGATGATGTATCCAAAAATCTGGCTAACTGTCAACAGACTGTTGATGGGAGGGTGGGGGGAGGGGAGGGGGGGGGGGGGGGGGGTTTTNGGGGGGGGGGGGGGGGGGGGGGGGGGGGGGGGGGGGGGGTATTTAGTGAACGACGAAGACTATTGCAACAATTCAACGATCGATGGTAAAGCGATGCGCAAACACTCACGCTCTCCTACACACATACACATACACATAAACATACACACACATACACACAGACATACACAGGCACAAGCATACGTATATACACATACATACATACATACATACATACACACCTATGCAGCCAACCCAGCCAGTCAATCCCCCTATTCAAAGACTTAGCAACTTACTAACCAACCAACGGACCAAGATTGACTAATTGGATAAATCAGGAAGAACATCTCCGAGAGAGAATTGAAGCGCTGGAAAAAAAGAGGTGAAGATGAATAAGCGGTATATCGTTATGAATCGTTGTCGTCCATCAATAACGACGACAAACACGCACAATGAAACATTGAAAAACAGCGATGACGACGACAACGACAACTATGTTACGATTGTCCGAATGTCCCTTCGGAATCAACCAGAAATCCGACTAGATAAGTGTGTGTGTGTGTGTGTGTGTGTGTGTGTGCGTGTGTGTGTGTGTGTGTCGGTGTGTATGTGTGTTTGTGTGCGTGTAAGAGCAAGTGTGTGAAAGCAAGAAAAACACGACGAAAGGTCATTCCGACTGAGGTTCGTTTGTCGTGGTGCAAATCTGCAAAAACTGTTCAGTTCATCAATACATAACTTGTAGAACAGATATGTCAGATTGTAAACGTATGTGTATGTGTAAACGTCTACACGTTTTTGCATATGAGCAAACATGTATGATATGTATACATATATACATATATATATATTTATATAACTGCACGAACGTGTATGTATAGGTGTATGTGTGCATAAACATATATGTATGTGAGCGTATGTGTATGTGCATGTATGCATTAGGGTGTGCAGTCTAGTGATCTGTGTATGTTGTGTATTTGTATGTATGCATATGCATTAATGTATGCGTGTGTTTGTGTGTGTATGAATAAACTCAAGTTTGTAGTGGTGTGTGTGTATGCGCGCACGTGTAGTGTGTGTATGTGTGTATGTACGCATTAATGTATGTATGTATGTAGGTGTTTATGTGTGTATATGCACAAACGTATGTATGCAGTGGTGTTTGTGTGTGCGGATGTGTATTGTGTGTGTATGTGTCTGTATGTATGTATGTATGTATGTTGTTTGTATGTGTATGTGTATCTGTGTGTATGTGTATTTATGCAAGATGAGTAAGAGACAGACAGAGAGAGATGGAATCAAATGAGGTCAACGATCGAGGGTGTCGGGTGGTGTCTCTAGTTCAAAGCCGATTCTCTCACAATGAGACTTTACCGTAATCTTTCATACATGAGAACTTTATTTTCAACGAATAATCTGTTGAAATAGTGCACAGTGACAGCGTAAAAAAAGAATTCGTCACCATCATCCTCATCATCACCATCATCGCCACCACGACCACCACCACCGACAACCCCAACACCATCGTCGTTAATGAGAGGTCTGACCGACAATGGGTATCATTAATGAATGATGAATTGAGTCCTCCAGATCGTATGCATACGCCTATATTTCATAGAATTCCACTAAGTAACTTTCCTTCTCCAGTAGTAAATCATTACTGAATTAGATTAACTGGAAAAGCACTTCTACACTTATTAATTGGAACATTTTCATGCTAACGAATTCTCAAAATGAGTCCTACGGAAACGGTTTACTAGGTTTTCCTAGTTCTTCCTCATATGGTAACATTCAGAGCGATAAACAACAAAATCCTGATGCTCAGTGAAGGAATAGGTCTGCCACTGGTCATCTACGGTTGATTAAACGTTTGTAATGATGATAGTGAAGATGGCGACGACGACTATGACGACTACAACTGCAACGGTTACGACGCTGATGATGATGACGATGGTGTTGATGATGATGATGACTACAACGACATTGATGAAATGCCCGGAACACGGTCAGATTGTGCGCAATGACGAAATTAGGGTTGGGCTGTGGGGGTGAATCGGCAAAGCACCACTAATGAGCCAATTGCACTACGCCGAAGGCACCAAGGCATTTCTTTTCACTATCTCCCTTTTCACATCGGGACTATCCAATAGCACTCAACGTCAACATATACAAAATTGCACTTCCCTACTGATTACTCTGGCTCAACATTAGCTAAGAGACAATAGAACCGATTACACGACAAAAAAATAACAGGATTTTTCGCATGAAGTTCGGTATCAACATCATTGAGACTGTTCTATACTGGTGTATCCAAGCACCTTTTCTGTGATAAAACCTTAGTCCACATGTGCAATGCGTGTATTTTAGATGCACCTGTATGTGTAGGCGCAGGGCCTCCCACCCTGCAGATTTATTGGGCCCTGGACGTAAGTGGGAAGTTGATACAATACGCTTCTGGATCACCTACAGGACCATTTGCACTAACTAAAAACCATTTCTATAGAGGATATCGTACGAATGCTTGTGGCATCCGCCAACCGAGTGAAAATCACCGGTATATTCCCAGTGCTCAGCATAAGGACGAATGGAGACTCTGTTGGTATTCAGATGGGTCAATGACAAATGTGACTGAAGGTGATAAAGGCCACTAGCTTCATTATTATTAATTTCAGTCACATATACAAGTCATTCTACATTCCTTTTCTACGCCTTAATCACTGGAAAGCACATGTAAACTACTAAATGTCCTTTTATACACCATTCATTTGACCTGGTATTCGCCATTAGATAATGAAAAATCTCTTTCAGCATAATTTTATGGAATTGAGTACGTTGCACTCAATGAATCTGGCTGGAAATCCCTAATAACCACCTTCAATATCCCAGTGCCTTTGTGGAAGGATAAATTCTATCCAGGAAAGAAGTTCCAGGACGAGAAAAAGAAATAAAGATTGGAAAAAAAAAACGACGAAGACAAACAAAATCCACCATACTGCGATGTAAATAAGTGGTGAAGAACAAACGGAAGAACTCACAAAACCTGCAAACACGCCAAGGATGCACGACTTTTCTGCAATCGCATGTGTTGTTGCTCTCTTGTTATGTTCTTTCTCCTCGGTCAAGTGGAATGCTTAGAATGTCTGACGGACAGTCAGCCGCATATCGTCTCTTTTGCATGAATGCAAAAGTGCACGAAGAGCTCACAGCAATGCGAAACATAGGTATTGATCGAGACATCGATTATATTCATCTTAGGTGAAGGAATGAACAACGAACGAACGAAAGATCAACAGCATGCCGACAGATATTGAATGTTTGCTCGTCAGATAAATGTCTATTATCAAAAGAATGTAGCATAACGGTACTAAATGGTCATCGATCAATAACTATTTCCTGCATTTGTTGTGAAAAAAGGAGAACAATGTATTAATAAATGCCAGTAGAAAGGTTAAAATTAAATAATTATTAGTTTCAGTAAATAAACTCCCTAGGTTTAACAACACTGTGCTCGGAGGATCCTGAAAACGCTATTGTCCAGAAATATTCAGGATAGGCTCGATTTGCTACCATTTTGCAACAAACGCAAAAAAAACCTTTTCTCGTACTTTTTTCATATCTCGTAGGAATGACTACTACCTAAATCCCTTAGAAGAAGCGACTGATAAAGAAATGTGAGCATTAGTGAGTGTGTAACTGGAATGACCTCTTTCTTTTTCGAGGACGGGTTACCCCAGCTGCTCTTTCCCGTCCCACTCTCATCACTTCCCCTCCTATTTCCGTCCCCAATCTCATTCCTGTTTCACTACTCCCTAACCTACTCCCTCCACCTAGTCGGATAACGTAATAGAATAAGATTTAAGACGGAGGAAAAACATTCATTTGGATAACGCCAAAACGACCACCACGAGAGTCGTGCCTGAAAGAGGTCATTAATCTTCGACATTTTCGTTGTGAGTTCCGAGTTTCGTTTTCTCGGAGACAAAAAAAGTCGGACACAGATGAGCAGTGCACGAGATGGAAAAGTGCAAATTGCAAAAATATAACATAATGTGCAATTTTGTGATAGACAAGATCACTTGTGAGAGATGCCGGCAATATCGTAAAACTCGTGCAAAGGTCACACGCTGAAGGCCGGAACAGTCAGAGTGCTCCTTGCCCAACGAAGGCCTTAAAGACAATCAGCTCATGCCACCAGAACCTTTCTCTTTCATGAAAATCTCTTAACGCCGCCGATTTTCTCCATGGTGGCTTGTACTCTAATTTATGTGACAGCAGAAGGAGATCGTCTTATAATCACCAGCGATTAAAGAACTCAAATAAATCGAGATTTACTGAAGATAATAAATCTTTAGTCAGGAGAGACAGAGAGAGGTGGAAAGTGAGAGAGCGAGAACAAGATAGAAATGTAGATAGAAAGAGAGCCCAATGATTAGGATATAAATGAGACGACGACGTTTCTGGAGGGTATAGTTCCTACTTTCTTGCTTTCAGATTTGTTCTACTATCGATCAATATATGTATATGTATGATATATATGTTGATAACGGAAGAATTGAAAAATAAAAGAACAGTTAATGTGTGCCCGTTCTCAGCTTTCCTTTCATCGTTGAATTTCACCTCTTTGTGACTGTAAAACAAAAAGTACGGTATTCAAAAAAAACCAGAACTGAAGATAAAATAGTAGAATTTCAATAAAACTTTTTGAAATGGAAGAAGTACCTCTAGCGAATAAATGAACGGATAAATAAATAAATAAACAAATATATAAGTAAAGGATAAAGAATAAAGCTCTCGGTGTTGATCAATAGCTGAGGGAAGCTCCATATATTTGACTTCATTAAGTATTGTTGGAGGTCGTTGAATGCATATCTGCCATTTACAGTGAGTCTCGGTGGCATATCAATGTGTCGCGCCAGTACTGCTATCCTCCCAGACAAGCCTGGTACCAATATGTCGACGCCGGAGGGGTAGAGGGCTTGGCGGGTTATGGCCGTGGGGATCGATTCCACGTGTGTGTTGCAGGGAGCCTCCGAGTACTGCGCCACACGCACCCTTAGTGTCCGCGTCCATCACGAAATAAATAAATAAATAAGCAAACAAATATGTATATGTATATGTATATATGCATACACTATACTGGTTTCTGAGAAAACAGGGCGTGACTTATGAGCACAAAATGAAGCAAAACAGCGATTCGAAGAAAAATACAGGTACGACTGAACTAAAAAAGTGCAAAGTGACAAAAATGTTGTACCCTCTAAACCGTCCGGGTGGAGGAGACGAACATCCTTTGTGAAGAAACTGGAAGAAATCGCAAGTGGTTTAGCAGAAATCGTTTCCTTGATCCACTGTGATCTCATCGATTTGCAGGCTATGTCGTAGATCTCTGCGCTATTCGTCAAGTCGCGCCCACCGCAGCTCATCCTTATCGATTGCGCTCTTTGATCCACAAACGGAGTCGACCAGTAGTGCTCATCTGAACTTGTCAGTAAGCGGTATAATCTCTTACAGCACGAATACAGTGGCAGTAAGTGACAATGTCGTGGTTACCTGGAGAGATGACTGGAACGACGATGTTGAAACCGATTGAAATGGGCAAGAACTATCTTCAATACGCAAATTCGAGCGAAGGAAATCGCTTCTACGATTCTTCCATACGGTGGTGGTGCACAAGGGTCACCTCCTAACACACCGCAAATGCTCCCTTACAGGAGAAATCGAGATTCAATGAAGACAATAAATCATGACGACAGCGGTTGTGGTGATGATGGAGGTGGTGGAAGTGGAAGTGGGATAATGGCGAGGATGATGATGATGCTGGTGATAATGATGATGATGATGATGATGATGATGATGATGATGATGATGATGATGATGATGATGATGAGGATGATGACGATGATGATGGCTGGCCGACCGAGGGAAGTGCGAGCGGTGGTGATGGTGCCGCTTGACACCCGACGTGCACGTACCAGATGCAAATAATTGCACATGAAGTCCTGTATTTGGAAGAAAAAAAAACCTAGCCGGAATATTAGAACGTTTTCTCAGAATCGATCGATTACTACACCTCCAATAGTCCCTAATCTCACAAACGTTAAAGGAACTGCCCCTTATAGTCCGAATTTCAAGGAAATGTGCGCATTTAAGCATTATTTGATAAATTTAGGCTTCTCCTTCGCTGACTTCTGTTGCTCGAATCCTGGAAGGATGATTCTCAACACTTAAGCGTAATTATAATATTACAGTATAATAGCTGGTTGGAGTTGGTTGTTCGAAGTTCATCGTGGATAATGGATCCGAGGAAACGAATCGAATGTGAGAAGTGCTAGGATCCGTACAGCAGACGTGAAGACGGGTCATATAGAAATAAAAAAATACGATATAATTACAATATTAACTTTTTAATTCACTGCCTATTACAAGGGACCCGCATGGTGTGGTGGTGAACGCGTTAGCTCCCGGAAAGGGTAATAGCGCGTTCGTTCCCCACCGCAGACACCTGCGGTCCGGAGTTTTGCAAATATCTCAGCATAACTATGGCTGTATCAAACATAACTACAATAAGTATAACTGGACCTGAATGCATGGCCCATCCCTCCAAGATTGTTCAACGCCGAGAGTCTTATCCTTTATCCTTTATACAAAGTGAAGAATTACTTACGATAAATCACTAACATAGTTATATGAATGTAAAAGTAAATGAAATTCTTAGTAGTAAACACTGGGATATTTCCGTTTAAACCAGCTCTAACGACCCTCTGAAAACTGTCGTGTTCAACTCTCCACAAGTTTTTACAACGTTCTATAAACGTTTTGACAAGAAGCCTTATGTTTCAGTTTGTAAATGACGATTTTCTTCTAGCAGGAAATGGAGTTGTCGGTGGAACGACGGAAGTGCTGTGCGATGTGGTTCGACGAACTACTGGACTTATGATTCCGAAGTCGGAACCAGTCCGTTGAAACCCTAGATAAGTTGATATGGAGTATGGTAATGGAGGTACTCGATCCCTCCAGATGACACAATGACTACAACTTATACACTGTAATAATTCTCTGATCAACTGGAATTTCTACATCTATTTATGATGTGTAATTGCGGTTAACACAAAGTGACAGCAAGACTGAGTGGTAAAGTTGGACAACACCAGAGAGCTGTCATTGATGAATCAACGCTCATGACGATGATGTTGATAGGATAAAGAAGAAGATGAATTGAATCGGATCATTTAAAGAGAAACGAATAGAAAAAAAGAACAAGCAGACAGCGGACAGATTAAAGACACTAACGGATGAGAGACAAGACGTTTTGAGCGAAAACTGCCAATCTAGTTGAGACCGATTCTAGGTAAGATATCTTAAACCAGGAACCATAACACCAGTCAGAGATATGAATTTGACTACAGTAATCGACGTAGAACAAAATGATAAAAATTAGTAATGTGATGATCAGTCCCTTAGGAATGTGTCATGAATTCGACTCAATCCATAGCATCGTAAAGCTGACCGAATGCACGGTTAAGCCATACAATGACTTAGGGCCCACTAAAGTACCAAGTGTTCTTATGCTCTCTGACATGTTCGGTAGCAATCTTCCGACTCTACAGAGATGGAGGGCCCAGTTTACACGGTGGTCAGGATCGTCAACAGAGGAGCTGAGCTAAGGTTCCAGTTAATGTAGTGGACATTACGACAGCCTTCGGAAAATTTAATCTTGGGTTCGAAGCGCACCTGAAATTCCTAGATCTAAGCGTCCTTTCTCCTGTATTGTAGGATACCTCTAACGGTAAAACCATTTGCATATATTGGCGAACCAACCTGTGGTGGTGACTGTGGAGGTGATAATGATGATGACGATGATGACGATAGTGATGGTCTCTGTGGTGAAGACGGCGGTGGTGGAGATGTTGATGGAGGTGGTGGTGGCATTGGTGGTGGTAAGAATGTGGAGTGCTCTTGACCCTTTTGGTAAGGTCATGTATAATTGTATGTCACCCCTCGTTCTCCAGTCTGCGCATACATCCCACCCATACACATCATACCCAACAGCCTATCCAACCACTACTATCACCATCACCACCACCACCATTACCCACCCACAAAATCGCCCACCACAGAGGCTCAGCACAGTGATGTTGAATAGCGGGACTACAGGGAGGGAGGACAATGATCGAATGTAGTGTTATGTTGGACGATACGCAGACAATCTCCCTCCCATCACACACACACACACACACACACACACACACACACACACACACACACACACACAAACACCCAACGGCCGGTCTACTATTTACAGTCCGGTGAACGAAAATAAACATTAAGGTCGAATGTGGTAAACTTCTCAGTTTCGTAACTAATAACACCGTCGTCATTCAACGAAACCCCACACCAGTTTCTTTCTTTTTTGAGGTTTGAAGGACCAAAAGAAACCCTTTACACGACTCTGCGAAACGGTAACGTACAGTATCTCATTCATAAGAGTCAACTTGGTCAGCATGGTAATTACGGTAATTTGCAGTTGTGCTGATACAGTAACGCACACATCAAATCTAATAGTTCACTGAAATGTGACTCCATTATTGTTTTGTTGTGATTCCGTCCTGTTGGGATCTCAACCTAAGTGGCTCCCGAATCCAAGGGCGCTGACAAAAACTCTTCATAAATGGACGACTCTTTTTATGGTCCGTTTATTTCTGAAGATACATAAACAAATAAAACAGCGATCCGATAACACAACAATTTGATAGCGTCGCATGTGGCGCCGGTAAAAGAGGCAAACAGTTTTCCTTTTTTTTCGTGGACAAACAACAAACTTGAGATTTGGTTTTACTGTGACAAATTTTAGCCAATGAAAAATTCTGAGGATTTTTGGATATCCTGGTAGAATTTGAAATCGTTGCTTAACAATACTATTATTATTAATAAATTGGGCCATAGTGCCGTAGTTGGTAACATTTGAACCCCAGGAAAGGGTAATCGCGGGTTCGAATCTAGCCTGAGGTCCAAGTTTCGCAAATATCTCAGCAACATAGTGGTAATCACTATTATATATTATTATATTATCAAGCGACATAGTAATAATACCAGTAAGAGTCAACATATTCTGGGAGTCACAGAACATCTGCGCTCTGATTCTTTCTCCCCAGTGCAACTAAGATTTTCACTACGAACAAACTTCGGATTAGTGCAGAGCCAGCTTAAAAAGATCCGGTTTTCTTTAACATAAAAAATATTCCAGTAGTTGATTTATCTGATAATCCGCGTCTCTCAGAGAGTTTAATCCGCTTGATCTACTTAGAAGCCGATAAATTGGGTCACAGTGGACGATACCGTAATGTGTGGACAAAACGAGGGCAATTATCGTCTAAGAACCACACCAAAGACATCGTCATGACCTTTCTTTTCACATGAAAAGAAGTTCAATATCTATCAGAATGATGATCATGAATAGGTCAGCACATAGATCACGTTAACAAGACGATCCATAAGCGATCGATCGATAACGCGAGCGAATGTATGAATGCTATGAAGTGTTCGAGTAGTAGAATGGGGTGGTACAGAGTGGTATGAAATGTAGGACAGAATGGGTTGATTTCCAGCGGTGGTGTTGGTGGTGGTGGTGATGTTAGTGATGTTGTTGGTTGTAGTGAGAGCGAGAGACAGACACAGATTGATGTTGGCCACAAAATAGGTCAATCGATACTTGCAGACTACAGAGGCCATCAAGGCCATTCGCATAGTAAAATCGGCAGCGGTGATCCGTTCTTCTTAAGACTTCAACGTCTAACAACCCTCTGAATAACCTGAATTTTAGGGTGGGGGATCGTCGGGTAGACTGAGTATTCAATTTGACACGAAAACCTTCGTGATCTACCGCGATCGATATTTAACGTTATGTGGTAGGGTAACTACCGTGCGCACGTTGCGTTTTTCATCAAGTACGACTAGGCAATCAGTATTAATGTAATGGTTTAAGTCAAGTCCGACAATCGAGGATAAAGATTTTCGAATCTTTCTGTCTCGGTGGCTAAATCGTGGGCCATATTGGTTCAGTAACAGCTGCAGTATAACAACTATGCACCTGTTGCTGCATGTCAAAACGAAAACAAAAAGCGAAAGAGTGTTTAACGTGATTTCTCCCATCAGTTTACTGTTTAAAGTACAAGAAAAAAGAACCAAAACACATTTTAGTTCTCTAGTACTCGAGCATCGACGATGTAATGAAGTTGAAAATAAGACCATTTATCACCTATTTACTTATCGAATTATTTGTTCATTCACTTAGTTCCTTGGATGCTTGAATGGCTCATCCTCACTGGTTCTCCGGACCCCAAAATAATCTTCATTTTTTGGAGTCTTTCTGGTTTAGTCACCGTGGTTCCCTCCTGGAATCCTGCGGTCAGCCTGGCCAAACTCTGTCCCAGGTCGTCACCACCACAGGCAGCCGCAGCCTTTGTGGATCAGAGGGTTTTTCCTTTGTGAATCAGAGAGGAGATTCGCCACTATGCGACTAATTTGTTAAGAGGACGGTGATCGACCCTGGTATTGGCTTACTCTTAGCTAGGCCTCCGGATGAGAAATGTCAGGCTCGTTCTCAGCTTGGGAGTCCCTGCCAGGGGATGAAACCTCCCACTGTACATCGCAATCCGACACTCAAAAAGACCTCTCAGTCACGATGAGGCGGTAAACTGTTTAGAGGATTAGTTCATTTAGTTTAATTAACCATTTAATAACCTATTTATTTGTAAACCTCCATTTGTGATGTTTTTGAAGCATTTTTAGGCCTGAATTTTTTAAAATTATGGCTACTGCCGCATTTTCAATGACAATAACCGAGAAAAATGAGTTTTAAAAATTGGTGTTGATTTCCGCTCAAGTTCTATCTGCGAGTGACTGGGCTAATTTTTTGATCCTTAAGGAAGGGTTTCCGCAAAAATTAAAAATTTTTGGATATTCCTAAAACAGTGGGTTTTAATAATGTTCCTGACTCCACGTAATCAAATGGCACACAAATGAGTTTTAATTATTTGTGTAACCAATCATTTTTGCTAGATTTAGATTTGCGTTACTACTGTGGGATTACGGTAAAGTAGCTGGCTGAATACGTCGATTAGGAAAAGAGGATAACTAGGAAAAAAAAGCAGAATTATGCCATTTTCTACTGTTCTCTTCTTCTTCTTTATCTTTATGATATTTTAATAACAGGGCGAATGGTCCCATATAGAGTTAAAAATTTCTTAACCGTTACGATATTTCCACTCTGACGACATGAATTGAAGGATAGGAGAATAACTGAGTGGCTAGTAGCTCTAGTCTTCACTTCTACTTTTATCCTTGACCATACTGTCCCCTAACCCATAAATTAAAGCATGCACTATTTCGATACAGGTAATCCATCGTATCTCAATCATATTTTTTGATAATTGATGGGAAATGGTTTGCCTTTGCGAAGAAACGGGCAGTTTCTTGCACATTTCCCATCTAACTGGTATATTACTGGTTTTGCAAGTTTTTACTTCACAGAATCCTGAACAGACCAGCAACAGCGTGTTCACAGGTCATCATCTTCACCACAAGTAGTTCCAGATCGTGGAAACCGCTAAATGTCTTCGAAAGCAGTGGCATTTTATTCTCATCTAAGCCTCTGAACAGAAAAGGCCGAGTTCTTTCCAAAACTAGATGGCCCTATTGGGTAGTGGCTAGGAGGAGGAAAGGAATCTCCACTGTACATCGTAGTTCATCAGCACCTAGGTAACTAAATTCCCAAACCATTAGTGCACATTTTTATTAAAATATAAATGTTTATTCCATAAAGAAAAACAGCACTGTAGCATACCAAAGTCACCTTCTTCAGTGAAGTGTTCTAGCTATCAGAAGTTTATAGTTATAACAAATTCGAAACGACGGATTTTCAATTCTATAAAGAAACGTTATAGAGTAAGACAGGAATTTTTATAGGGACCATCATTGTCTAGTGCTAAAAAGCAATTTCTTTAAGTAATCAAAAAAGATAGTAAATCTCTGAGATAAGAGTATTATTATCACCGCTACAAACCTGATATTCGTCTCCGACAGGTCAATCTTTGATAAGAAAGTTAATTTAAAAGACAAAATTGACAATAGTTTCTATAAACATTAATATGAATACTAATTTATGAAGCAATTGATTTGTATCCTAAGTAAACATAATCATAATGGTGCTGCGATATTCGCAAAACTCCGGATCGCGGGTGTCTGCGGTGGGGAACGAACACGCTCATACCCTTTCCAGGGGCTAACGCGTTCACCATCACACCATGCGGGTCCTTCGTTTCGCCAATTTTCTATCGATAATTGGAATAAGTGAATATAACACCATATAAAGTACTAATACGATAGAAAAACTCATACCGAGAAAAGTTCACAAAAGCAAAATGGTGTTCAAATGAAAGAATATAGATGAAAAACAAACGATGACGTCACCTGAACCGACACGGGGAAATGAGAGAACAAATCCATCTTCACACCGCTTTTTTGCCACATGTGAATGATTGGTAATCAGATAAAAGTGCGAAAACTGCACGATAATACACCATTAGGATGACTGTTGTTATTCGAGAAATTCCATATCTGAAAGAAAAACTCCATTCTCGTTCCAAAATTTATTTATAGAGAAGCATTACAGCGCGTTGAAGCGTTGATAGGGGCACGACGTTAGATCTGGGTACGGATAGGAAGGATTTCGCTAAAGAATTCGAATCGGATGCGGTATTGATAGGCTTGAGAAGCTAATAGATGGCAGTTAAGACTGGAAAGAATTTACATAGAAATTTGATCAACTAAGTTATTCAGATGATTAAATACGAAGAATACTAACGTATAGAGGAAAACAAGGCAAGAAAGGATGGAAACAGTAAAGGAGACATCAGCAAGGAAATTCGTCGAATTTCTAGAACCACTGGACCGAGGTGTTTTTTATAGGCCAAGTCTTCAGAAAAATAAAAAAACATAGATTGATTAGCAACAATGAAAATATTGAGAGTGAGCGAGTAATGGTCTCAACGAAGAGACAAAAAATCACATTAGGAGTCGGCTGGAACCACTTCAAGTCGACTACAATGTTCAGCAATCAGTATAAAAAAATATTTGCTAACAAATGATATAAAGCATTTGTGGCAGCATTCATTTTCCACACTCAAGAAAGTATTTTTTAAAATCGGTGAGGACGACACCCAGATCCATACGAAGGCTCATTTAACTCTACTCTAAATCTCTCAACACTGTGCTTAATGAGACAGACGAAACGAAGGACCCGCATGGTGTGGTGGTGAACGCGTTAGTCCCTGGAAAAGGTAATAGCGCGTTCGTTCCCCACGGTAGACACCTGTGGTCAGGAGTTTTGTGCAAATATCTCAGCATCATTGTGGCTGTATCAGATGCAATAACCTGCAATGAAAAATTGTAATAGGCAGTAAATAAAAACAAGTTAACACTGCTTAATTACATCTACGACGATGTCGAGATATTCGCAAAACTTGGACCCCGGTAGGTGCCTCCTCCACCCCACCCCCTAAGTTACTTTCTGCCCCTAGTAGGGAAAAAGTAAAAGGCTAACACTGTGCTTAGTTGTTTGAAAAAATCTGCTCACCATGTAAAAAAAAGCCCTTGCTTGATTTCCACGTAAAAAAAGATTTCGCCGCATAGATGATAACGTCGTATTAATCAACTCTGAAGTGCTTTTCCGACAGAAAATCGAACCATCGCGATCAAATCGCGATTTCATTTTCAGCTGCCAAAAAATCGATAGAATCACCACCACCTCGCGCGCGTGTGCACGTGTGCGCGTGCGTGACTTCTACGTGGCGTACTGTAAGACTTATAAGATTTGTTCAAATGATCTGTACAGAATGGTAGTCGAGAAGTGATGGACGAGAAGTGATGGATGCGTTTGCGATAGTGGTGGTAGTGACGATGGTAGTGATGGTGTCGGATGATGGACGGTCATAAAACCGGTTGTCGACACGTATGTTGGAAAAAATTCACATACACACATACGATATCCGACTATTCTCCTAGCTCTTAACATTACTACCATATCACAATGATAGTCAATGAAAAGAGAACCTGAGAAAAAACAGGTCAATTTTCGATATAAAGAGACAAATGGTTGCTCTTTGAAGATATCAAGAGAAAAACTCTCTCGAAGGGACATCGTACTAGGAGCACACGCTTCCCCTGATTTCCTAAGGAGATTTTCTTCGTTGCAATTTTCATAGAGCTTTGACAGTAGAGAAAAATAAGGTGTAACGCTCAAATAAGTGAGTGCATGGTTGAAACAGTTCGCACTTATAAAAACCGTACACCAATGGCCTCCGAAAAAAATTGTGCTTTCCTTCAGACTTTACTTGTGCTTTTTTCCTCCTAAAAATACTTTTTTCCTCAAGGCACTGCATCCTGTTGGATTTCAACTGGGACGTCGAGATCTTGTCCTTGCATTTTTTTAGATTTCCTGTCCAAACATCGTTTAAGATTTCACCTAACTCAAAACGCTGCTAAGTACTACCACACCAGGATTCTTAGAGTTCATAAGGCAAGAATAGGAAAAAAACAGGAATTGGTCAGAAAATAAGTAAATGAAATTATTCTGCACCGTGTGAAGCGCTTAGGTTAATTACTCCACGGAAGCTTAACAATAAAGTTCTCAATAAAACAGCAATTATGGTGAGATATCTGCAAAATTCCAGACCGTAGCTGTCTGCAGTGGGGATCTATATTTCACATCATACCCTGCCATGAAAAAACAACAGGCGATAAATAAAAGGTTTTGAATATACTTAAGTCTATACAGGTAGCGTATGTGTGTGTACACGGATATATGTGTAAGTATACGTGTATATGTGTATCTGTTTTATGGGTATGGGATGCTTTGCTCTACGCGTGTGTTCCGTTTCTTTTCTAAAGCATGCAGCTCAAAGAGTCCGATCTACAGTGATATGATGTATCCCTTAAGAACTAAAGCAGTTTTGAAATTTTTATTGTAAACCAGTAGGAGTACTTGGATTAGTGCTTGGATGATGGGGAGACAACGACAACGACAACGACGACGATGACGATGAGGGCGATGAAGACAACGACGAGGATGACGATGACGATGACGACAATGAAGACAACTATGACGACGATGACAACGACAACGACAAGCACACACACACATATAACCGACATGAACTGGAATTAGTTACAATAGGACAGTGTTCTTCGATTCGATGGACAGGAAACACCGCCACCACTTCGACAACCGTCATCAACAGAATCGACTCTGAAGACGTAGCTTCATGGAGGCGATGAGGTCGTCACGGCATCGACGTCTACTGCCTGCACAAGAAGACGACCACAAGCACATTATGGAAGCGCCGAAGTGCGCAATTCAATTCGAAATCGTTGAAGTGTAATGAGTTGCCATAATAAACATAGTTTCAAATGTTTCTGTTTTCGCTCTCACGTTGGAAATTTTGTGCGGCTGGGATTACGGTAATTTCTTTGTGTCCTATTTTGTTTTCAGCTGAGTTGGGCGATGGGCTGTTAGTGGTGCTATTCAGAAACATTTCAGTGAGAAAATAAGATTGCGTAAAACATCACCGATCATTGGGCGGAGTTTCTCAATGGAGAAAAAAATCGAATAAACATACACTCATGCGCACACACACATACTCAGGTAGACAGACAAATACACACATAAAGACATACACATAAAGACACATACCGGCCTACACAACACATACACACGCACACAGACACGTAGTTACAAACATAGAAACATACAGACTCACATGTACATATGCACGCACAAAAAGACATATGCAGACACACGAATACACACACACACACACGCACACACACAAACCGATGTGCAAACATACATACATACCTACCTACATACCTACCTACCTACCTACCTACCTACATACATACATACATACATACATACATACATACATACATACATACATACATACATACATACCTACCTACCTACATACATACATACATACATACATACATACATACATACATACATACATACATACATGCATACATACATAAAAACATACATACATACACAGCTACAAGATCTTTCTCCAAAGAAAAATGTCAATGTGCTAAGGTGAAAATCAAAAACAGAACCGTAAAAATGTACGCAACCAAATCTGCTGTGTACTAGACGTCATCGTCGACTAATGAGTACTAGTACGCGTAGAAAAGAAACAAAGAGACTAAGAAGAATCAAAAGAGCGAAAAAAGAGCCAATGACTCTTACGACAGGCTTACATAGAGACATCAGGAAAAAAACTAATTGTTTCATTTATTGACAACAAGCTAATTTACCACAATTATAATCCAATGTGTACTTACAGACATGTAACTTTTATAAAACTATCATATAATAAAAGTAGATTACAAAAAATATGATTCTTTACAGATGTAACAGAAATAATGGAAACATAATAGCGTGTTGTTCGACGAATACAAAAAACAAATTCGTTCATAGGGAAATCGGAAGAAAAACTCAAGCACCCGACTCTCCTCCTCCTCGCCATATGCCTTGGTTATTTTTCTTCTTCTCGTCATTTGTCATAGAAAATTTAACGATTCATGATTTTTTTCCATTTTAGAAGACTTCCAGAATCGACCACAGGGAAGAAGTGATTTGGCTGATGATAGCGACGGTGATGGAGACGGTGTTGATGACGATGTGATAGTAGTTGGTGTCAGTTGTGTTGATGATGTTGGTCATGTTGGCAATTCAATGGCTAGGCAGAGAACAAAATTACTCGCCTCCCTCTCTTCTCCGAAGACTGAAGAACAATCGATTTTGCCAGCCAGCATGTGAGTCCACGAGGCTGAGTGACTGAGGGAGTGTGAGTGGTGAGTATGAAAAAAAGTGATAGTATGACGTAAAAGCGTTGCAGGATGACTTTCAGGATCGACACCAGATCGACACGAATCCTACCTCCAAATCCGAAAGCTCGTCGACAGCCAGTTCTCGTCAATGGAAAGCCGAATCAGGTAACCAACAACTTGTATACATGTCTTCTTTCATTGATAAGATAACGCAATGTTGATAGAGAACTTTGTTCGGTTGACGTTTCACTGCGTGCGCCTTTTTAAGAGCCTGACTTATCCGAGTCGATTGTCCACAGATGTTCAATAGCAAATGGTTCAGCACTCGCAGTTAGTCTCTCGTATACCAACAGACGTTACGATCAACGACAGCACCTTCTTCATGGTGTACGTCTGTGATGGCGGCGTGAACTTGAAGTTGCGTGTGCCACACCACGTCAGTCAACCATTTCGTTCAACCACAATCATAACATGATTGATTCATGTTTTTTTTTTGGACAAATGGATGAAGATGTGACTGGTTATGATGATTGAAGATGCCGTTGATTAGTGCAGTGGGTAACACGTGTGAGCCGCCGGGAAAGGTAATCACAGGTCCGAAGCTCACTTTCGGCCTCGAGTTTTGCTCATATCTCAGCATCATTGTGGTTGCATTTTACATAATACTCTGGGATGGAAAAAATAATAGGCAGTGAACAAAAGTTAGAAATTTCTCTTTTCTCCTCTTTGCTTTCTGTTTTTTTTTCTAGTAAAAACAAAAGGAAAAAACACGAAATGAAAGTGAGGTTAAAAAGAACAGTCCGCTATTAAGGACAACTTAAATCTTTGTTCATTTGAAATCACTCCCCTAAGAAACGGACGCTACAATGATGAGCCCTTGAAATTGGCCAGAAAAAAACAGGTGTAAATCACTGAAAAAACTGACGAGTACTTGATGTCATGAATGTTAGCGGTCTTTGGGTCTCTTATTCGAGTTTAGATATTTCTTTAGGTCTGATGAACTTCTTTAACTCTTTAATCTACATGAATATCAAAAATTCTATTTGTGCGTATTTACACTGTCTATGATTTGTCGGCAAAGAAATTGTAGAAGAAGTTATTGTCATGAAGAAACGAAGAAATGGAGGCTAGCCGGTGAGTCCAAATGAATCCTCTTAAAAGTAATCGAAAGTTGAAGTGGTACGGGTTTAATCGGTAAATCGATAAAAGTAAAATTGCAGAGTGACGAACGTTACGTATTATTCATATGTAACTATTCGAGTCATTGATGATGAGTAACACATTTGAGATGGAGTGTGTGTAGATATGAAATACATGAACGAACAGATGGACACAATGATACACACCGATGGACAAGCTGACAGACAGACGAGCAGACAGATAGACGGAAAGATGACAGACAGACAGACACTTACAGAGATAGACAGATAAATAAATGGGCAAGAGAGACAGATAGAAAGACAAAAAGATATATAGACAGACTGGTTGAGGGATAGTCAAAGCAAAAGCCTCAGCGATGCAGTGGATGATACGTGAGCTCCTGGAAAGACTAATCGCAGGTTCGATATAGCCTGAGGTCCAAGTTTTGCAAATATCTCAGTATCATAGTGGTTGTGTTTCACATAATGCCGTTCCGTAAAAAACAATAATAAGCAGTGAATAAAAAGTTAACGTTGTGATATATAGATAGATGGACGGAGAGACAAGGAGAGCGGTGGAGATAGAGAGGAACAAATAGCTGCCTAGGCAGAAAGAGAATAGATAATAGAACAGAAAAAATAGATAGGCAGCCAACCAGTAATGGAAAGACGACCCCAAGAAGCGGTATAGTTAAAAGATCTAGTGTCGAATAAGAAGCACAGCTGGTCATAAACGACCACTAAGTGATCTTGATATGGAGTCGAGACGAGCCGAATATAGTCCAGTGGCATAGCGGGGTAGTACTGTACCAGTTATTGTACCATCAAGTTGTTTGCGTTCATTTGTTGGATGACGTGACTATGAAACGAAACAGTATGAATGAGAAGAACTCTGGACCTTTGGTGTTCAGTCACAATAGAGTGCGCTGATTTGCATGGGAAGAAAAAGCTAACAGCCGTTCAAACACTCCCATGCATGAATAAATGATGAATTCTCTGCATGTGGGTCATATTCAAAACTCTCGGATTCCCTTCTAGAAACTCACAATGGTTCGTTTACGATGTGTGGCTTCTAGATGAAATCCGAAAAATATTCGTATAGAATCACTCTTTAAAAACACAAACATCTACCCTAAATGAAGGAAAATGTCAAGCCGATGAGTTATGATTAAAGTTCCCCAGGAACAAAAAAGAAAGTCGGTCATGGGAAAAACAAACTAGTCCATCACTTTTTCTTTTCGAAAGCTAAAGAATAGAAATTTATTGAGCTACTCAGATCTGATTACGTTAAGTTCCTCCTGAATTCGATAACTTCCAGTAATGGCTAATGTGAAAAATATCTGTACTAACTTGATACTTGATACTTGAATTGCCCGTCCTCACTGGTTGTACGGGCCCCAGCACAATCTCCACTTTTTTTCGGAGATTTGCTAGTTTAGCCATCAGTTTAGCCAGATGACGTTGAGACCCTTTCTTTAAGAATCTCTCAATTTTTCCTACTTTTTAAACATGATATGTTTTTCTTTTAACTGCAAAAAATAAAATAATATCAACAATGAACCCAGTTGAAGAAGGTGAAGTAGGAGGTACAATGACAGCAGGATATTTCAGAAAATGAACGGCCGACTAGCAGCTGTATCAGAACAGCAGCAACAACGGCAGAAGTAACAGCAGCAGAACGAAAACATGTGGCTCATAAAATACGTTCAGTAGCTTTATTATTAATTAAAAATACAAATAAACGCGTTTTACAATCAGCGTTATGCATATCATGTTGATTACACTAACGTAACAATCAGCTGTTGGCGCCTCAACAATCCCGACACAAGCTCGACATGCAGCTGGAGAACATCATCATCAGTCGGTTGACTCTCGTCGGTTCAGCATCAATCATCAACTCTGAACGCTATACTGTCAACGTTTGACTGATCAACACTCTCCACATATACGACAACACACTTCATCATCAATCCGGTCATCCATCAACGAGGTAAGTGGATGAAGTATCGAACCAACCCGTCGTTTTGAACATCTTAAAGCTTAAAGGACAGCTAGTGAAGATCTTTCACAAAAAAGTGGCTTCCAGACCAATTAATCAGTTCAAGAGATCCATGTAGGTCGCTTTTCTGACATACTAACATACGGATTTCAAAAAATAAAGCATTACTCAGATGATACGAATAAATAATCCGTGAGAAATATAAGCTAGTATATGGAAGATGAATGTAATCTAAGGTATCTTCTAGTAATTTAAATGTCCTAAAATGTAAAAAATATAATGCCTTAATGCGATCGATAAGGGAAAAATGGAAATGGGAAGCGGGTTCGAGTGGTGCTCTACACCGCGCCGACACTTGTGTTGGTGGTGGTTGTGGTGGTAGAGGTGGTCTGGCTGTGGGTGGCCTTGCTCACCCATTATGTAATGAACATCCCCAGCCTTCCAATAATGGTCTATAAATCTCCGTCAGAGATACGCTATTTCAAGGTCGCTCTACACATCAGTACAGAACACATAAAATTCTTCACTGTCAGTTTTTAACTGTAGTAGTCAGTCGAGAAATGTCCTAAACGTTTGAAAACATTTTTTTTTGCAAGTTTCCAAGGCTTTGCAAAAATATTTTTTCTAAACTTGCAGTAAGAAATGGGCTAAGTTTAGTGGTTTTTCGATACAGATGCTTTCGACTGAACGTTAGAAGCAAAAACACAAGGAAAAAATGTTAGTGACTATGAAGTTTAGTTCGTATTTTACAATAATGTTTTAATTTGCGAAGCTCGATTTCCCTTCCATATTCACTCATCGACAACTAGAACTATAGCAATTTCGAGAATGAAATCAGAAAAAGGTTTGAAGAAGACATATGGCACGGTAAAATGATTCGCAATTCACATGTGAACGGACAGTAGTTCGATCCTCACTCAAACTAACCAAATCCTTTACACTTTCCTAAGAATCGCTGGAAGGGCATCCATCGTAAGCGAATGGATTAGCCACATCCACAAACACTAGAAATTCTGATGCTGGATTTAGTGAGGAAAAAAAGAATAAATGGGAAATAAATGAAATAACAACATACATCTAATCATCGCATTCCCAGTAAGGAATCGCAGACAACAAACAGGAGCATCCTTGTGTTTTTTCGTCTTCTAATTAAATTCCACTTTAACATTTCAAACACAAACATAACACTGCATTTGTTCCATAGTTTATCTTTACAACAAAAACCAAGCTTACTAATCTGAATTCGGGAAAATTCGCGAGGACTGTCAGCACAGTTTGCAGGTATTTTTTTCAGGTATTGGGCAGGTTTCATATTTACTCTTCATTGAGCTTCAATGACAGCCATGTGTGCTCCACATTCCGTCACCATATGCAATCATCCGTATACTTGTGCATCGGAAGAAAGTTAGTCACATCGTGATTAGGATTCTTCCAAACCGGAAGAGGTTTTAAAAGATTTTTGGGTCCACCACGTGGGAATGTTGAAGTGCCTCATGGCATGGTTCGAAACACCAGGAGATGGACTGCTGTTTGCTCATTGTAGTTCATTGTAGTTCAATATCGATGTTATCCAACAAAAAACGGAAAACCATTGAGATGTAGGACTAACTTAGTTCACCTCAATGCTAAAATTCTTTCTACTTACGTCCTTCGAATTAAAGAAGCACCGAAATCTACAAATAGAATAAAATCGATAAGGTTTTGTTCGCCACTGCAGAAAGAGAAAATAATAAGACCTCTCGAAGAAGAGAGCAGGTGGGAATGTCGTCGGCCGCCCTGTCAATCGGAGGAAATGGACATCAATCCTAGAAGGCGGCGACTTTCTAAAAGAAACTAGAGAAAAGCTCTGCA